GGCATCAAAGAACAAAAAATCATTTATCATTGTGTGCTCACCTCCATGATATGATCACTGAAGACAAATGGGTGCATAAGCAAATGTGACGAAGAAAGCCGATGGTTCCCAGCTATCAAAAGGTATAGTGTCTGGGGTCTTAAAGGCTTTAAGGTAAACAAGCGGTCAACTATTATTAGAGTGTTCATTACCCAAAACCAGTGGTCCTCATATTCGAATACAGCTCTATAGATTTAATTCTTATCATAGTTTTGATTTTCTGGTTCAAGAAAGTGCCTCCAAACGGCTCTCTATGGGATGCGTAGGGTGGGCCAGGGTCCAAAGAGCTTTGCATGAATGCGGGCAAGAGTGACACTCTGAAGCACAGTGGTGATACCCAGGAGGGAAGTGGAGGACCAAATGTAAGAAACAAAAGTCTCCACTCTACTTAAAAAACAAAAACAAAAAGCGTCTTCACCAATGGCAAATCATCAGGACATGGAGACTGGTGACATTTGGAATACATGGGACACCCGGCATGGACAACTGTGGATTTTTGTTGTTGTTTTCTTGAACTTTTTTTTTTATAAATCATTTTACTGGGGGCTCTTACAACTCTTATAACAATCCTTGCATCAATTGTATGAAGCACATTTGTACATATGTTGCCATCATCCTTTTCAAAACATTTCTTTCTACTTGAGCCCTTGGTATCAGCTCCTCTTTTTTTCCTCCTTCCCTACCTTTCCACACTTGCGTCCCCTTGATAAATTAAAAATTATTATTATTTTCATTTCTCACACCATCTGCTGTCTCCCTTCACCCAGAGTTCTGTTGTTCATTCCCCTGGGGAGGGGGGGGTGTTATATGTCGATCATCATAATCAGTTCCCCCTTTCTCCCCCTTTCCCCCCAATTTCCCTCTACCCTCATGGTATGGCTACTCCCACTGTTGTTCCTGAGGGGTTTATCTGTCCTGAATTCCATGTGTTGGGAGCTGTTATCTGTACCCATGTACATGCTCCAGTGTAGCCGGATCTATAAGGTAGAACTGGGGTCATGATAGTGGGGGGGGGGGAGAGAGAAGCATTAAAGAACTAGAGCAGCGGTTCTCATCCTGTGGGTTGCAGCCCCTTTTGGGGTCTAATGACCCTTTCACAGGGTCACCCGATTCATAACAGTAACAAAATGACAGTTATGAAGTAGCAATGAAAATAATGTTATGGTTGGGGTCACCACTACATGAGGAACTGTATTAAAGGGCCACGGCATTAGGAAGGTTGAGAACCACTGAACTTGAGGAATGTTGGGATCACTGAGTCTTATTAAGAGAGTAAGGGGAGAAAAAGAGAGTAAGGTATTGTTTTAAAGAAATAAAATTAAAGGACGAGATATAATGTTTCTGGAATGTAAAAAATAGGAATTACAGCTCAATAGTTTTTTGTTTGAGGTTCCAAGAAGATGTACAGTTACACATATTATTCTGGGAATTAGAAGTTTGAGACTGGAAAGTAGAGCATATGCAAATGGAGATTCTGGTGTAATTTAGGGAAACACCCACTCAGGCGGAGGGTGTGTCCTCAATCAGTGCCTTGTCATTATTAGTCCGAGATCTTTCCCTGAGTTCTCCGTGCCAGAAATGAAATTTTCGTCTAGGTCTGGTGAATTCTGCGTTCACTAGTTTAACTCCATAACAATGGCAAATAATAACCATATGTATTCATCTTCAATGGGAGTTACCTCTGAAAAGAAGTCCCTACTGACATTATCTGCAGGAGCTGACTGCTATGAGTCCAGACTGTGGACCTGTGAGCCAAGGACTCAAGAAAGGAGAATTGAAAGCTCAGAGAACGTTTCCAAAATAAAGGAACTTGCCTTTCTAAGAATGAATTTGCCCATAAACAACCTGATACAACCAAAAGTCTCTAGAATTTGTATTCAAAAGTAAAAAGTCCAGTCTTTCTCCCAAGAAGCTGCTGTTGCTTTTGAACTGCCCACCATGTGGACCTCAGCCCTAACGTGCAACCACTATATACCATTCTTGTCACTGGAACCTCCACTGCAAGGAGCATTCAACTGCTGGCTGCAAGGTCTGTGGCTCAAAATCACCAGGTGCTACACAGGAGAAAGATGAGGTTTCCTGCTCTGCAAAGGTGAACAGCCTTGGGAATGGCATAGAGGCGCTGTGAATGGGTAGGTACCTCCATCACAGAGTCATTAGGAAGTCAAAATGGAGAAAGTGGGCGTCAAACACAAAAAACAGACATCATCGCTTCCACTGATTAAATATCACCTATCAGTAGAACCTGGCAGTGTCCTGTCTCTTCTCAAACTGATTGACTGGGAGCCAGATTCGAGCTCACAAGTTTAAAGGACATCACCCTCAGACTGCCAAAGAGACAGCTGTTAGCCAAAACCAGGTTTAGGAAGTCCATCTGGTCTGTCGACTCCCACAACCACTTTGAGTACAATAATTTCTCTGAAACAATTCACAAACCTCACAGAGAATACCCCATACTTGTAGTACAGATTTATCATAGTCAAATTTATCATTTACAAGTACCAGTAAATAGACAAATAGTGTGAGGTCTGGAAAGGGGCCCAAATCTGAGTTTCCATGTCCCAAGGAATGGTCGACCCTCTGCAGAGCAATTCACAAAACTGTGGCTCCTGAGGCCAGTCAATATCAGTACACCAGTCCCTGGCTTCTCTCCATTGACCCTATGACTTTCTGGTCCCATGCAGTATGATTGACAATGGTGGCACTCAATTGCATCAGTGTCTTTCTAAGGGCACTCAAGGGGACTTCTTTATCTACATTATAAATACAGTGGGTTAGTTAAGATAATAAAACTCTCAGAACACAGAGGGAAAATATACAGGCCGAAGAGCAAATTGTGCTACATTCCCTTCCCTTGCTGTTGTTACACATAGAAATTATCTTTGTGGAAAGAAATAGTTCCAAATCCTGTTAGAAATAGTTTTTTTCAAGTCGAAAGTAATCTCAGATTTAAAAGAAAAAGATCACTGTCATTTAACAAAGTTGAGACTGCTGGCCAAAGGAGGGTTTTCTAATAGTCCTGTGATACATTTAAAAAACAAAATTTCTTCCTTTCTGGTATGCATATATACAATATATGAACTATGAGGGCTTCTATTGCCATGTCATGGAGATGTGATATGTGTTCCTTCTACATTCCAAAACACATTTATTGAAGTGTACTAAGTTACAATAAAAAATACTAACTGAAGAAGAATGGAGAAATTAATAAAGAAATGGCATGAGTCCAAATTTCTATTTTGTCCATATTCCCAGGTGACCAGGAACAACCGAGCCATGGAGACCTGGTTGAACCGATCGTCCACTGATGACTTTGTCCTCTTGGGCATCTTTTCCCACAGCTCAGCCGATCTGGTTCTTTTTTCTGTAGTCATGGCAGTCTTCATAGCGGCCCTCTGCGGGAATGTCCTTCTCATCATCCTCATCTACATAGATCCTCGACTACACACCCCCATGTACTTCTTCCTCAGTCAGCTGTCCATGATGGACCTCATGCTGGTCTGTACTAATGTGCCAAAAATGGCAGTCAACTTCCTCTCTGGCAGGCAGTCCATCTCCTTTGTGGGTTGTGGCGTACAAATTGGCCTCTTTATTACTCTTGTGGGCTCCGAGGGGCTCTTGCTGGGACTCATGGCTTATGACCGTTATGTGGCCATTAGCCTTCCACTCCGCTACCCCATCCTCATGAATCAGAGGGTCTGTCTACAGATTGTTGGAGGCTCTTGGGCCTTTGGCACAATAGATGGTTTGATGCAGATGGTCGTAGTAATGACCTTCCCCTACTGCGGATTGAGAGAGGTAAATCACTTCTTCTGCGAGATGACGTCTGTACTGAAGCTGGCCTGCGCAGACACATCCCTTTTTGAGAACCTAGTATTTGCTTGCTGTGTTCTCATGCTCTTCCTTCCCTTCTCCATCATTGTGGCTTCCTATGCTCGAATCCTTGGGACAGTACTCAGCATGTGCTCTACTCAAGCTCGGAAAAAGGCGCTGACCACCTGTTTTTCCCACCTGGGAGTGGTTTCCCTCTTCTATGGGGCAGCCATGTTCACTTATCTGAGGCCTAAGCACTACAGGGTCCCTAGCCATGACAAGGTGGTCTCTATCTTCTACACAGTTCTTACTCCTACACTCAACCCCCTCATTTATAGCTTGAGGAACCGGGACGTGATGGGAGCACTGAGCAAAGTGTTGAGTCGTTGTAGGATTGGCAGCCAGCACTGAAAGTCAGATCACTTAGAACCTGGCTCATCCAACTCCTGGTTCTGAAGCACTGGGTCCTTATTATTCATTAATAAGGATCCTGACACCTGCGTTGCCTCACAGGGATATGAGAAGAGACACCAGGCACTTAGAAAGATCTCCTTAAACCTAAAGCAGTGCTCTCTAGCTCCAGTGATAAAATAACTTATCCCACCACAGTCTTTAGTAGACTGGTTCTTTTGATTAAAAGGAATGTCATTCTTTGTAACCTGAACCACGATAGAAACAAGGCACTGGGATTGTTTCCACTTATTATTTAAACCTGGAGTTGCTTCTACTAGGAAAACTTAACTACATCTTCTTGCTAATCTACCTGTTACTCAGAGTTTACTACGTGCCAGGCACTCTGCTCTATTCTGTGTATACAAGCATACCTCAGAAATATGGGTTTGTTCCAGACCACCACAATAAAATACTACTGCAATAAAGTGAGTCACGTGGTTGGTTTGTTTGTTTGTTTCCCAACCTATATAAAAAGTTAGATTGATACTATGTACTGTAGTCTATTAAGTGTGCAATAGAATTATGGGAAGATTTACATGAAAAAAATAATAATTTATAAATTATCAAGGGTTCATGAGAGAGGGAGGGGAGGGGAGGGAGGGAAAAAAATGAGGAAGTGATTCCAAGGGCTCAAGTAGAAAGAAAATGTTTTAAAACTGATAATGGCGACATGTGCAAATGTGCTTGACACAATGGATGGATGGATTGTGATAAGAGCTGTTCAAGCTCCCAGTAAAATGATTTTTAAAAGAGAATTATGGAAACATTTAAAATATTGTGAGAATTACCAAAATATGACACAGACCTGAAGGTAACACACTCTGGGGGGGGGGGAATATGGCACCAGTAAATAGATAAGCTCAGCTCAGGTTTGCCATAAAACTTCAACTTGATATATGAAGCACAATAAAATGAGATATGCCTGTGTAATATATGTCGCTTTCCAATTTATTTAATGTTCACATTAGTATAGCCTCATATTAATGTGTTAGATGAAAAGCTTCCTCATAGCAGAAAACTAGCCTGGATAATTTCCCGCACCTCTCACACTGTGAAATTTGGAAACTTTAAAAAGAATTTTTTCAAGGGGGAAAAGAAAAATGTGATGAGTTGTACAAGCCCCCAACAAAATGATTTATTAACATTTTTTAAGAGGTAAAGTCTTTAAGATTCATGAAGAAATAGGCAGTCTTTTATGGTGTAGTCACAGAGTCTGGCACATAGCATGAAAGTAATGACATATATACATTCTTTGTGTAATACTTACCATGGTTTATCATTTTAGTTTCTGTAACAGGAAAATTGGTGAGATTGTTTCTCCTTTGATGGATTAGGAATGGAACATAAATGTTTGACCTTGAACTGCTATGTGAGAAAATACTTTTTATGGCAAAAATTATCTTTTCCTGAAAAAAAAGTTATCTTTGTTAAAGATAGAAAAAAAAGTGCAGACAGAATCATGTTCTGGGAGCTAGGATAAAGCTCAAGACATTATTTGCTCAATATTTCAGTTTTGGAGGGAGTAGAGGGCAGTGGCACTGATAGTAACTATAATTCTTGGGACCTATTATGGAAGAAACTGTACTCAGTTTAACTGCTGCAACAATAGTTTGCGGTGCACATTATTATTTCCAGTTTACATATGAGGAACCTGGAGGTCAGACTGGTTAAGTCCCTTCGCCTCACTCCCCAGTTTTCCTACAACTTCCTCTGGAAGGGAGTTGGCTGGAGCAGCTAAGCTCATGAGAGCGCTTTGCAGGAGGCTCCCTTTTCTCGGAGGTCTAATTGCCAGGAACAAAGGTGTGGCAGAGAAAGTGATCCAAGGTCACTGGAGGTCCAGTGAAGGGTCCCTGGTACAGGTGAGAGGTCTTTCCATGTCAGGCCCAGCCCACCCCCATTCTGCTCTCCTTTGGGTGAGGAGTGTATTTTCTCTCTTTGGAATCATTGTTTCGAAGAGGCTTTTCCTTAACCACTAAGGTTTCTTCACCAGTTTAAGGGGCAGCACTAGTTTAAGGGACAAGATGTAAAGTGGCTAGCAAGGACTCAAATATTATATGTGTAAAAAACATTAGAAAACAAAATTAATTTAGTGAGAGTGAGAGAGAAAATAATGATGTTGGAAATTTGTCTTTGCTTAAAAGTAGAGTTCCAATTATTGTAATGGCTGTCAGCAAGTTATCCACCTATGTAAAGTTGAACAGGAAAAAGTTGTGTGATAAACATATTCACAACAATGGCAGAAAATAGTAACTGCTGAGACTGCTTACATACAACAGGATTTAATAGAGTCTGGTTCCTTTAAAGGTTTAGTCTTATGATTTCATTGGACATCCCAGTTAATCGTCCTAATAATATGCTTAATGTTTCTGTTCTACTGCTTGTGCATATTGTAACCATTAGGGCCTTAAAGCTTACAATGGACTACCCAAGGCATGAAAATCGGTCCCAACTCACATGGAGCAACAGAGGAAGGAGAGCCCACAATAAGAAGAATATGGAATGTGTGAGCAGTTGCCTTCATGAACAGCTGCCTCTTTTGTCATGAGATTAGAAGAACATTGCTGAACATTTTGATCAAAAATACTATAGAATAATCCTGATCAAAATTGGAGAATTACACAACAGAATCTCAAATTCTCAAGGATCCAGCCATATGAGAGCTGGGTCAGTGGAGGAGGGGCTTAATAAACTCCCAAAACTATTACCCTGAGAGAATCTTTAAACCCTAAACCAAAAATACCTCCTTAGAAGTATTTTAAAATCGAACAATAGTTTAGTCACTTCAGTGAACAACCAAGGAATAAATAACCAGTGGGAAAAATGTCTCCTTGAGCTTGTGCCCCTTCAAGAACTGTCCATGAGGGTAAGTTCAAAAGCATTAGGAAATGTGATATCCTTCTCCAGGGACTGGTCTCTCCTGACATGTCCAACGTTTATGAGATGAAGTCTTGTGAGCCTTGCTTCTAAGGAGCATTCTGAATATACTTCTCCCAAGACACATATTTTGTTGTTCTTTTGGCAGTCCATGGTACTTTCAGTATTCTTCGATAACACCATATGATTTTTCTTAAGTCTTCCTTATTCAATGTCCAACTTTCACACTCATATGAGGCAATTGAAAACACCAAGCTTGGGTCACGCACACTTTAGTCCTTAGAGTGATAGCCTTGCTTTTCAACCCTTCAAAGAGATCTTGTGCAGCAGATTGATCCAAAGCAACGGGTAACTTGATCTCAACTGCTGCTTCCATAAGCACTGATTGAGGATACAAGCAAGACAAAAGCTTGACAAGATCAATCTTTTCCCCATTTATCAGGATGTAGCCCATTGGTCCAGGTGTGAGGATTTTGGTCTTCTTTACACTGAGTTGTAATCCTCACTGAAGGCTACTATCCTTGATCTTCATTACCAAGTACTTCCAATCTGCCTCACTTTCAGTAAGGAAGTTTGTGTCTGTCATCGGCATATCACAGGTTGTTAATAAGTCTTACTCCAATACTGACGTCTCCTTCTTCTTTATATCCTCTAGCTTCTCTGATTACTTGCTGAGCATATAGATTGAATAAATATGGTGAGAAGATTTAACCCTGATTGCTGGAGCCCAGCTCCAGGAGGGTTGAACTGGATACCTGAAGGAGGTGTGGAGTCGGCGAACACAGACGAGACAGACACGAGAGATGTTCTGGTGGAAGCAATCTCTGCTGAGTTCTTCCAAACGCTTTATTTATACCATAAAAAGTTTTGCAGACCACTACATAAAAACAATGCCTTATGATTAACTCCAAAGTCACCCGTATTGTTTCCACTAAAACCTGATAAAAGATCATTATAAGGGCTGTACTTTTTTCTGTCACTTTCTGTCCTCTTCCTGGTTCTTTCTTTCTGTACTGCTTGTCTTATATGTCACATGCTATTCTTGATTGAGGTGTTTCAGAAAATTTGGCTAGACTCATATCCTACTCACTGCCCTATTTTTTGCTCACAATGTTTCTTTCTTGGTTGACTAACATAATGAAACTACCTCATGTGCTACTTCAAAGCCTACATTATTCTAAAAATATCTACAAGCAGAGTTAAATGCTTCTCAAATATTTTCCTTTCTAAGCTCTCTTATAGTAACTGTTCCATAGTCTACCTATGTCTCTTTTATTTTTTGTACTCCTGAGGCATCATGGGGGGCCAAACCATCTGATTCTTTGCCAAAGACTTAATGTTTCCCCTTTTACATGTTTTCTTTTAATGTTAACCATTCTCCCTCCATGTAAGCCCCTGTCCAAGGTATAGGGGCGTCAGTTGGGGGAGGCTGTCTATAAGGTCCTCTATAGCGGGAAGGCCAAAAGAGTCCCCCACTACCTAATCTGAATGGAATCCAGGGTTTTTCGGTGGGTTTCATTTTCTCCTCTGACCTCAACTTTGGGGTTTCTTCCTCACTCAATTCCCACATATCCTTCTCAGAATTCCCAAAGATGTCTCACTGTCTAAGCCTCTCCAATGCCCCAGTTAAGGAAAACCCCATCATATTGAAGCAAATTTTACATCTGGTTTCATTTGTACTTCTCAATACTGCCCTTGCATCCACTCCAGGTGTGGTAAATGTAACAATGCACAAAATTCCCAAGAATGGAATTAACAGCAGTAAATATTTGAGGGATGTTGGAATCCCTCCCTGGGAAGCTCTGCTCTTCAGAAGCTCCTTCCACCAGGCTGTAACTTTGCTAGACAGCATGGTTTGGATGGCTCCCAACACCTGATGCACACTTTTCCTGATTTTACACCAAGCAGTATTCCTTTCTTACTGTTCGTGCAACTGCTTCTTGATCCATGTACATGTTCTGTCTGAGCATATGTGATAATTAGGTTTACTGTGCCAACTAGACCTCCATAGGAACATGTGGGCAGAGTTTAATCAGGTCGCTGCTTGATTGGAGAGCAACCAAGATAAATATTTTCTGTGGTGG